AGGCATCCCAATACTTTTGGCAATATATAAAGTTGTGTTCAAAATAATAGCAGTCAGACATCACTAACCTGATCAATCACTGTTTTTGGTAGAAATGATATTTCTACATGGCAAATAATTTACTAGCAGGTGTAGTAGAGTAATAGAAATCCAACAGACTCAACAGTCATGACATGCATGCTGCTGATTCTGTGTAATTGAATCACTAATTGAAAGGGGCATGTTCAAAACAATAGCAGTGTGGAGTTCTATTAGTGAGGTCATTCATTCTTTGAAAAACAGGTGGCAATTATTGACCTTATTTAAGGAAGGAAGGCAGCAAATGTTGTACATGCTGGTTACAGTGCATTTCTCTCTGAAATTCTGAGGAAAATGGGTCGTTCCAGACATTGTTCAGAAGAACAGCGTGCCTTCATTAAAAAGTTGATTGGAGAGGGGAAAACATATAAAGAAGTGCAGAAAATGATAGGCTGCTCAGCTAAAATGATCGCAAATGCTTTAAAATGGCAACCAAAACCTGAAAGACGTGGAAAAAAGCGAAAAACTACCATTCGAATGGATAGAAGAATAGCCAAAATGGCAAGGACTCAGCCAACAATCAGCTCCAGGAAGATCAAAGAAGGTCTAAAGCTACCTGTGAGTACTGTTACAATTAGAAGACGCCTATGTGAAGCCAAGCTACCTGCAAGAAGCCCCCGCAAAGTCCCACTGTTGAAAAAAAGACGTGCTGAAGAGGTTACAATTTGTCAAAAAGCACATTGACTGGCCTAAAGAGAAATGGCGCAACATTTTGTGGACTGATGAAAGTAAGATTGTTCTTTTTGGGTCTAGTGGCCAGAGACAGTTTGCAGATGACCCCCAAACACTGAATTCAAGCCACAGTACACTGTGAAGACAGTGAAGCATGGTTGCGCAAGCATCATGATATGGGGATGTTTCTCATACTACGGTGTTCGGCCTATTTATTGCATACCAGGGATCATGGATCAGTTTGAATACATCAGAATACTTGAAGAGGTCATGCTGCCTTATGCTGAAGAGGAAATGCCCTTGAAATGGGTGTTCCAACAAGACAACGACCCCAAACACACCAGTAAACGTGCAACATCTTGGTTCCAGACCAACAAAATTGACGTTATGGAGTGGCCAGCCCAATCCCTGGATCTTAATCCAATAGAAAACTTGTGGGGTGACATCAAAAATGCAGTTTCTGAGGCAAAACAAGAAATAGAGAAGAACTGTGGAATGTAGTCCCATCATCCTGGGCTGGAATACCTGTTCACAGGTGCCATAAGTTGGTTGACTCCATGCAACACAGATGTACAGCAGTTCTCAGAAACAGTGCTTATACAACTAAAATTATTATTAAGTGATTCAAAGGAAAGCAAAATCTTCAAAAACATTTTTCAGTTTATATAATGAATGTTTGAGTTTGTAAAGAAGAATACAAACACTGCTATTTTTTTTGAACAGTCTAATATTCACTTTTCTTCAATTTCTTTAGAGGAACAACACAAATTTGATATATTTTTCTTCATGTTTTGATTTGAAATAGAATGTGTAGTGTTCCCAATGCATTTGTGTGTATGGAAATAAAAGCTATTAGAAGGATTTTGAGCTTTATTCACTTTTTTCATCACACACTACTATTATTTTGAACACAACTGTACATACATACACACACAGGTCCATATATATTTGGACACAGGCACAATTTTAGTTTTTTTCAGGTATTTACCAAAACATATTCAAGCTACAGTTATATAATGGATATGGGATTAAAGTGCACACTCTCAGGTTTAATGAGGGTATGTACATACAAATTGGAGGAAGGGTTTAGGAATTACAGCTCTTAAGAGTAGCCATCCCCCCTTTTTCAAGGGACCAAAAGTAATTGGACAATTGAATCAAAAGCGGTTTCATGGCCAGGTGTGGGCTACTCCATTATTTCTTCATCAATTAAGCAGGTAAGATTCTAAGTGTGTTATTTGTATTTGGAATCTATTGCTTTGAACCTACATCATGGGTTCAAAGGAGCTGTCCATGCAAGTGAAACAGGTTATTGTAAGGCTTCAAAAACAAAACAAATCCATCAAAGAGATAGCAGCAACATTTAGGAGTGGCCAAATCAACAGTTTGGTACATTCTTAGGAAAGAAGAAAGCACTGGTGAGCTCAGCAAATAAAAAGGCATGGACGTCCACGGGAGACAACATTGGTGGATGATCACAGGATCCTCTCTATGGTAAAGAAAAACCCATTCACAACATCCAGACAAGTGAAGGACATTCTCCACATAGGAGGAATTGAACATAAAGTAGCTGCCTTTGCAGATGACCTGTTGTTCTATGTGGGAAATCCTAGGATAACACTCCCAAATTTAATGAAGAGCTTAAAGGAATATGGGGAGTTATCAAATTTAAAAATAACCCAACAAAAACGGAGATCTTAAACGTAAATCTTCCAAATAGTGAAAAAGAAAAGATACAAAAAGAATTCCCTCTTATATGGAAAGATAGAGAGAAAATATCTAGGGGTTAAACTCACTGCGTCATATACAAACTTGTATAAGTTAAACTATATCACACTTCTAAATGAGATTAAGGGGGAACTAAAGAAATTGGGAGGAGGTAACCCATCTTGGATAGGGCGCATAAATCTGATAAAAATGGTAATTGTACATAAAATCCTATATAAATTCCAGATGATCCCAATTAGACTCCCGGAGGTAATTAATTAAAAAGATGTTGACAAGATATATATGGAAAAATAGAAAACCTAGAATATCTTATGATCTGTTGAGTAGAAATAAAGAGAAGGGAGGATTGGGAGTGCCAGATATTAAGAGGTATTATAGAGCAGTAGTTCTTGCAAGAATTTATGACTGGACACACAATTCAGAGGGGAAAAGGTGGGTTAAAATTGAAAATGAATTAAGCGGAGGTAACGAGTAAAATCATATGGGTACCAGCACAATATAGAGGATTAACAGGTACCACAAGTGTTTATACATTAAATGTTTTAAGGGTTTGGGATAAATTGCACAAGTTTATGAAGTGGGATTTTAATTCACAATTAATGTCACTGAGGAACATGGAGTATTTCCCTCCCGGTAGGGAGGAGAATACAGGAAAATGGTTTAAAAAGGAGGATATTCAATTGAGGGATATTATGGAAGGACGGGAATTGAGAACACTTAAGGACTTGAAAAAGGATAAAAGGAAACTTTTCATTAAGACAGATGAATGGAGATATCCCCAATTAAAACACTTTGTTGGGAGTCTTCCGAAACCTCTGAATTGAGAAAGGATTGGAATTTGTTTGAGAGGTTGTTGGAATCACGTGGGGATGGGAAACGGGGCACGGCTAAAGTTTAGAAGATTCTCACTGAGTTAGAATCACACACAAAGCCAATGTACATAGCAAAATGGGAAAGGGACTTAGGAACAGAGGTAGATGAAGACAAATAGAGGAAAATATATAGACTAACACATGAGAACATAAGCATGAGAGAGGTGGAGGTAAATTATAAGTGTTTAACAAGATGGCACATTACACCGAACGTTGAATATAAGATGAGTGAGGAGAATACACCAGAGTGTTGGCGGGGGTGAGGAAAGACAGGTACGTTATATCACATATGGTGGGAGTGCCCAAAGATTCAAGGTTTTTGGGAGACAATGGTTTGTTTAATTGTAATAATCTCTGGGATAAAGATAGAATTGGATCCAGAACTGTGTCTATTACATAGTACTGAGTTATCAGTGAATAAATACAAGGATTCAGGTATATGGTATTTTCTAAATGCGGCAAAGAGTATGATACCTAAGTTTTGGTATAGCACAGAGGTGCCGAGAGAAGAGGATTGGGCGGAAAGAGTGATTTAGATATGTAGGATGGAGAAACTGTATTATATGCAAGAAGACAAGATGGGGTTATATTATAGGAGGTGGGGAAAATGGGAAGATTTTGGGCCGAAGGTGAAATACATGAAGCAGTAGAGTGGGACATGTGAAAGTACCCCTTATTAAGGAAAAAAAGGTAACGGAGAAATGCAGCGTGGATGGTTTTATTCTGTATGGGGAGGGGGGGAAAGGGAATAATGATAGAAAGGGATATAATTGATGGTTTTGTATATGAGAGTAATCATGGAATATGTATTTTGTATGAAAAATAAATAAATATCTAAATAAAAAAAAAAAAAAAAACGGCTACTACTCCAGACTAACATCTACCTCTGAAGGCATTTTGATTTATGCATAACTCCTCCCAAGAGCCAGCCCACTGCTTGAATCAAGGCTGAGGACTCTTGAGAGATGGGTACTGAAGCAGAGTGCTGTGATGTTTTCAGGAAGCTATATGTTCAGCAAATTGAGGGCCCCTTTCATTAGCCATGATCTGCATTGCATTGCATAGAGAAGCAGAGATTACATTACTGGGTCTCTAAAATAAGTTATGTCATAAAAACATAAAGGTCTTAAAAGTTTAATTAGAACGTGTATGATGTAGGGAGGGAGGAACCATGGATGACAAAATATAAACAAACTAAACTTCAAAAAATAGATGAGGGTCTGACAGTGTCTTGGATTTCTAGTCACAGGCCCTTTCAACAGTGTGGTACAATCCTTTTCAGAGATATTTATGTTAGGGCTTGTTTACACTAGCGGTTGGGAGGACAGTTGAGCCATGTTGTTACCGCTCTCTCACACTGCTCCCCCTTTTAGCTGGAAAGGCAGTGGCCGGGTTTGTACACGTGCTGTGCTGCCAATGCTTTGCTTCATGTCCAGAATTATACCCCGTCGCAAATGTAACTCATTCAAGTGAATTGGGCCATGCAGCAACCCCATGCAATGCAAGCAGTTGAAGCACGATAGTCCTGCATTTAGGGGGTCAAACGGATGGCGAGGAGGCCTGAGTTACAGAATAATGCTAATCAAACATCACATACGAGCTCTTAGATATACTCTGAAAAACTGAACATATAGTTTCTGATATATTTACCTGCTGAATCACCTGCCATTACGGTTAATGCTGCCATTGATTTAGTGCCAATGTAGTGACTTTTGACTAAGAAACGGGCCAAATCCAAAACTGAGTCAAACGATTGACTTAGGACTTTCTGTGCCCACTCGCAAACAAGACGACAAGCTGCAGAAACAACCTCTTCATCAGCATTCTGCAACTGCGCTGACACTTCCATTCCATCCAGCTGAAAAGTAAAACAAATCGTTAGCACACTAAACATGTTCTGAAATATGCTGATAGAAAATACCTTTTTACTTATACGAAAATATATGTTGAAATATAATCATTTATAACTAACTTCAAAACAAAAAACTAGTAACAATTTAAAGCATACCTGTGCTTTGCCCATGAAGTCTGAGGATTGGTATCCTGGTAATAGCAGTTAAACAATTATGAAAACCTTGTCCAAATGGTATTGTAGCTCCTGATAAACTGAAGTGTATGTTGCCTACTAGCTTCAGATTACACCAACCACATTTACAGTTGTGACAAAAAATTATTCAACCCCAATGCTGTAAAGGGGTTTAGGGACTATAGTGTACATTTGGAATTGTATTCAGAATCAAATCCTACAAGGACGTTGTAACTACCCAAATGCAACTAAAATGACATCAATTGTTTATGTAATACAGTAGTAAATGGTTCTTATGTGGTTTCTTCATTGCCACAATTATTCAACCCCTAAAAGACTACCACTCTGAAGAACAGAGGTTCATACAGGTGCTTTCCATCAGGTATTGAAAACACCTGTGGATGTCACCGAGCAGCAATCAAGCATAATAAGCACCAATTAGGCAGCTTTAAAATGACTGTGATACTCAGCTCCTTCTAGACATTTACTGGTTACAAACATGGTGAAGGCAAGAGAATGGTCCAGGAAGACAAGAGAAGAGGTGATTTCTCTTCACAGGAAGGGCAATGGCTATAAGAAGATTGCAAAGATGTTAAACATACCAAGAGACACCTTAGGAAGCATCATTCGCAAATTCAAGGCAAAGGGCACTGTTGAAACGCTACCTGGTCGTGGCAGAAAGAAAGAAGATGCTGACTTCGACTGCTGTGCGCTACCTGAAGCGTAGAGTGGAGAGAAGTCCCCGTGTGACTGCTGAGGAACTGAGAAAAGATTTGTCAGATGTGGGTACAGAAGTTTCAGCCCAGACAATAAGACGCACACTGCGTAATGAAGGCCTCCGTGCCAGAACTCCCAGTACCCCCTTGCTGTCTCCAAAGAATAAGAAGAGTCGACTGCAGTATGCCAAAAGCCATGTGGACAAACCACAAAAGTTGTGGGATAGTGTTCTGTGGACTGATGAAACAAAATTAGAACTGTTTGGGCCCATGGATCAACGCTATGTTTGGAGGAGGAAGAACAAGGCCTATGATGAAAAGAACACCTTGCCTACTGTGAAGCATGGTGGAGGGTCAATCATGCTTTGGGGCTGTTTTGCTTCTGCAGGTACAGGGAAGCTTCAGCGTGTGCAAGGTACCATGAATTCTCTTCAGTACCAGGAGATATTGGATGGAAACGTGATGCAGTCCGTCAACACCTGAGGCTTGGGAGACGTTGGACCTTTCAACAGGACAATGATTACCTCCAAGTCCACTAGAGCATGGTTGCAGAGGAAAGGCTGGAACATTTTGGAGTGGCCATCGCAGTCACCAACTTAAATCCGATTGAGAACCTCTGGTGGGACTTAAAGAAAGCAGTTGCAGTGCGCAAGCCTAAGAATGTGACTGAACTGGAGGCCTTTGCCCATGAAGAATGGGCGAAGATACCCGTAGATCGCTGCAAGACACTTGTGTCAAGCTATGCTTCACGTTTAAAAGCTGTTATAACTGTAAAAGGATGCTGTACTAAGTACTAAGATTGAATGTCACTTGGGGGTTGAATAAAACTGATAATGCTGTGAGCACAGAAAAGACATTTGTGGTTATTTCATTATAACTGTTATGTTATATTTGTCTGACCTACAAGTGCCTCTTTAAGTAAATGTAAGCAAGATGACTGAATGATCAAAAGCAATGTCAAACTGGCCAAAACACTCAATTTCAGTGGGGGTTGAATAATTTTGGTCACAACTGTATATAATCACTGGACAATCCAACACCCATCCTACTACTGTCTAGGCAAGCTTTATTCTGATTACTACACATTTTGCCTTGACCCAGCCATGCATCCATTCCCAAAACAGGGGCAGAGAGCACAGGAAAGATTAAAACTTCAGAAAATGTGTTTAAATATCCCAGCAGTGCTGTCAGCATGGAAACAATTAGGGAAATATCCCAGAATAGAGTGCAAAATACAGACAGCTTTTATTTGTTTATATTGCTGAGATTCCTATCAAGCATTCTGCTTTAGAAAACCAACTCTCCTGGGAATTTTTCTTGCAAAAAAGATTCTCTTCACTTTCTATTTCAATACTTATTTGTTTTCAAATAAATAATAGTAGGCTGACTATCAAGACTCTACCCTGGTCTTAACAAGAACAGCCACTAGATTCAACTCAATATGTTTAGAGAAGTGCTTAACAATGCAACTGCCCTATGCTGTCTAGGCCAGGGTTTCTCAAATAGGGTTCCAAGAAGCCTTAGGGTTCCCCCAGTGGTTGCTAGGGGTTCCCTGAGCAATTTCTGTCTCACAAATATGTTCACACTAACACCACTGATCATTTTCCCAATGACCTCAAGTGTAAGAGCATTCTCCCAACTGACTGACACCCTAATGTATCAAGAGTTGTAGGTATAGTCATTTTAGCAGGGGTTCCTTAAGACCAGCAAGTTATTTCATTTTTTACTACTATTTAATTTGCCTTGGCTCAGCCATACACCAATTTCCTTACAGGGGCAGGAAGAAAAGAAAAGATTAAAATTCCTCCCCACCCCTCTCAATATACTGCACCCCTTTTCAATATACTGCAGAGCAGAAACTAGTTGTTGAAATGTGGGTGGAAATTAAAGCTTATCAACAAGTACTGACCTAAACAGCATAAAAGTAATTTTATACATACCCATCCACCTCTCCTACAGCTTTTGAGACTTTTAGAAGACAAAATTGCTGATAATTGATTCAATAATGCTTTATAAAGCAGTTTGGTAGGATTCAAGTGGAAGCTCTATATTTGTACTATACTGTGTTTTTTGAACGCTATGACCTATTGTGCCAAGGTGGCTGATATGACTCCTGTCGATGGACTTTTGGGTCTGAAGAGAGAGGTTTCTTTAGACCCTAAACAGGTCACATGTGCTTCATTATACACTACTATGCAAACGTTTTAGGCAGGTATGAAAAAAATGCTGTAAATTAAAAATGCTTTCAGAAATAGAAGTGTTAATAGTTTATTTTATCAATTAACAAAATTTGAAAATAAATGAAGAGAAGAGAAATCTAAATCAAATCAATATTTGGGGTGTGACCACCTTTTGGCTTCAAAACAGCATCAATTCTTCTAGGTAAACTTGCACACAGTGTTTGAAGGACCTTGGCTGGCTGGTTGGTTGTTCCAAACACCTTGGACAACTAACCACAGATCTGCAGATGTAGGCTCAAATGCTTCTGTCTCTTCATGTAATCCCAGATAGACTAGATGTTGAGATCAGGGCTCCGTGGAGACAAACCATCACTTCCAGGATTCCTTGTTCTTCTTTACGCTGAGGATAGTTCTTAATGACATTGTCTGTATGTTTGGGGTCATTGTCCTGCTACAAAATAAATATGGGGCCAATCACATGCCTCCCTGATGGTGTGACATGATGGATAAGTATATGTAAGTATTTCTCAGCATTAAGGACACCATTGTTCCTGACCAAATCTCCAACTCCATTTGCAGAAATGCAGCCTCAAACTTGCAAAGAACCTCCACCATGCTTCACTATTGCCTGTACCACTCTCATGCCCTTCGGCGAACAAACTGCCTCCTGCTAAAGCCAGATATTTCAGATTTTAACTCACCAGTCCAGAGCACTTGCTGCCATTTTCCTGCACCCCAGTTCATATGTTTTTGTGCAGAGTTGCTTAGCTGTGTTTTCACCTCAGAGGTATGGCTTTTTGGCCATAATCCTTCCATGAAGACCAGGTGGTGGTTTTACCCAACTGGGCTGATGGAAGGGGCGCATAATAGCGCAGGAGGAGATTTCTCTTTGAGAATGTGACTGCTTGTAATCAAATTTATTGTGCAATGGTGGACTTGGAAGCAGGGTGTACCTTGTGAGGTTTAGAGAACACAACAAACAGGGAACCCGTCCATCTGCTTGGAGAAGTAGCCGTGAGATATATAAAAGTGTATATAGGTCGCGCTGCCATAAAATATGAATCAAAATTTCTAAACAATTTGCCACATGTGAAAATGCAAAAAAATTAACACCAGAAAATACAAATAATGTCTGATGTATCAGTAAGTCCCATTCAAATGATAATTTCATCTGTAATTGGATGACTTCAGGAAGCTTCCTGAAGATGTCCAATTACAGTCCAAACTAATTGAAGCAGTGTTCCCCAGCTGATACATCAAATCCCATCCCTGGAGCGCAAGTCAGCTTCTGGTCTTGGGGTGGTGGCAGCCATCTTAACCACAAGCTCTGTATGTACCTGTTACCGGTACTTAGGCACAAATACCATGTGAGAGTGGTGCTATTTTTAGGTTCTATATAATTTCATAAACGTCAGCTGCTTTGCGCAATGAACCTTTTCACAGATACGTTTTTTTTTGAGTGGCATTGTATTGCATGGGAAGGAATCACATCTTGGTACATATGAATGGTCAAGTTGGGGACAAGACACACAGTGGGACCAACCAAAAAACCCGCAGTAAGACCTATCTAATAGTAATAGAAGGTTCATCCATTTTAGTGAGTGCAAAGCCATGTGGGGTCACCTGGAAGTGGCCACCTGTTTTTTTCTGTTACTAATGGCACCAGCACCTGTTTACCTATCTTTTGGTTTTCAAGCATCTATCATTTGAATGGGACTTACTGATACATCGGACATTATTTGTATTTTCTTGTGTTGTTCATTTATTTTGTTTATTTTTTGCATTTTCACATGTGGCAAATTGTTTCGTAATTTTGATTCACATTTTTTGGCAGCGCAGTCTATATACACTTTTATAGGACTCACTAATGTGGAAATTTGACACATTTTAAAGACTGCAACAGCCATAATCACATTATTCCGTGTTTCTTTTTTTGGTTTTGCCTGTGGAGCAGAGTTTTCATTGTTATTTGTTAGCTACGAGATATACTATAAAGTCCCCAACTAAATCTACAGTAGGCAATGTAGAGAGATTTTCTTTTTTGATACTTAGGAGCAGGGCATGAGGATAGGAGGACAATGTCCTCATTAAAATGGAATGCTGAAGACAATCTTCATGAGAAAGAATGGCCTTGGACATAAGACAACCTTGCCATTGTAAGGTATGACGAAAAGTTCTTTACAAGAAAGGGATGCCAGTTCAGAAACATTTCTGGCTTCTGATAGCAAAGTAAAGTACGAGAAAAAGTTCTTTACATGAAAGGAACACCAGTTCAGATACATTTCTGGCTTGAGATAGCAACCAAAAAGACTAATTTGCATGAGAGATCCTCTAGGTGAATATCCCTGATAGGTTCAAAAGGTGGTTTCTGCAGGACAGAGAGAGCCAAGTTGAGATCCCAAGGAAGCACAGGGTGTGGCAATGGGGGTTAATATGAGACACACTAGGGAGAGTGAGGCTAGAGGTCTTTGAAAAAGAATAGAGAAGGCCAAGACCTGAGCTTTAAGAGTACGTAAGGCCAGTTTCTGGTCAAGATTTGATTGTAGGAAGGCAACAATGTGAGTCACAGAGTTATTTCTGGTACTGATGAGGTGGGGGTAAACGAGAAAATGCAGATAGGTATCATGGATGTCAACAGATGCCACATTTTGCCCTGGTCTCACAAAGAAAATTACTGATCATTCGGATTCCATTTATAATTTGGAGGAATTTGTTGAGAGATTTTAAAACCAGAATAAGATTAATTTTCAATTAGTGATTCAATTAAACAGAATCAGCAGCATGCATGTCATGACTGTTGGGTCTGTTGGATTTCTATTACTCTACTACACCTGCTAGTAAATTATTTGCCATGTAGAAATATAATTTCTACCAAAAACAGTGATTGATCAGGTTAGTGATGTCTGACTGCTATTATTTTGAACACAACTGTATATTACATCAACTATAGAAAAACCCTGACATGGTACTAAACAGAAATAATGTCTGTATTTACCTCACTTTTTTGTTTGCTATCCTACATTAATCCTATCTTTATAATCTGTAAATTGTTGAGGGCGATGAGAATGCTCTGCTATTTTTAAGTGTGAGGGGTACCAATTACCACTTGACCAAGTGGGAAAGATGTTAACACTGTTGAATATTAGACCAACAATAAATTGTTTAACATATAAGCAAATGTATACAGAATTTTCTTGATGCCCTAAGATACTCGGTACTCTCATCACTTGAAAATACCCTGTTCTCAGATGCTGGCGAAAGAAAAAAAAAAAAAAAACACAATAGAAAAAATAAGGATCAATGTATGAATTGGTCAAATGTCTTGTCAAATTATTCTACAATACTAAACAAGCTATTTATTTGGTACACAGAAACTATTTTTTTTTTTTTTTTTATTGAAAAGACATGCAAAAATAAAATAAACATTACCCCATCTCCTGACTTGTTGAAATCCAGATTGGGAAGTGAAGGCATGTGCACAAATGCTTTCTTTCTCAGCCCACTGTAGCAATACGTAGCATAGTTAAGGTCTATAACAGAATACACTGAGTGCCTGACATACGCAAGAGACCTCGCAAAGGAATAAAACATACAGTTTATTAACAGCTCGAATTACAGTTACAGGTAAAAGAGTCTATTCTACACAAATAATTACTGCATAACTCACCTCATTGAGATCTTCACTTTTTATCTAAGGGCTAAGTAAATGAGTCTGATGCTATCGGCCCACAATTGAATAAAAAATTGGATCTGTGCCCAACATTAAAGTGCCAAGCAGTTGCACAGTTCTCCCTTCACCCAAAAACTCTTATGAGTAAGGGCTCGTTCACATCATGGTGCAGAGACATCTGTTTTTCTGCACGCATTCTGCAAGGTCAAAAATGGAATCAAGTGTTCTCTGTTCCATGTTCACGCCATAAAACTGGTATCACATGCAGATTTTACTGCGAAGGAATCTGCAATATGTATAAAACTCATTGAAACGCGCATGAAAACTGATGTCTGTAAGTGAAATCTGCCAGCCAGTTCCAATCAGTTTTTAGCACGTATGGTGTGAACGAAGCCTAACTGAAAAAGTTCTGCTTGTCCAGCATGATAAGGAAAACACCAAGACACATTCGAATACAGCTTTAAATAATACACAGGTTTTCATATATTTTGCTGCAGCTTTGGGCCCAACATATGTATCCAAACCAAAAATATTATTCTTTATAATTATTTCAACAGCATTGTGGATTATGATGCAAATTACAGACAAAATGAGGTACAGGAAACCTCCCAAAGCAGGCCACAGCAATTTTGCATTGATCAAGGGCATGTTTTATATTTCTAATGTGCTACTTCAGACCACAGGAAGGTAGGAGAGATAAAAGCAAAGGAACACATTTATTTTATTTATTACAGGTACTTATATAGCGACGTCAATTTACGCAGCACTTTACATTGTACATTCACATCAGTCCCTAACCCTCAATCTAAAGTCCCTAACCCACATTCAAACATACTAGGGCCAATCTTTGACAGGATCCAATTAACCTACCTTTGGAGTGTGGGAATAAATAGGACTACCCGGAGGAAGCCCACGCAGGCACAGGGAGAACATGCAAAATCCAGGCAGGTGGTGTCATTGGGATTCGAACCAACGACCCTAGTACTGCCAGGTGGAAGTGCTAACAATTTAGCCACTGTGCTGCACCTCCTGGTCACATACAAAAGCTAAATCCATTCTTCTGAAGTAGAACTGAAAGAATCAAGTTTGACTCATATGCAAATTTAAACCCAATGTAGTAGAGCAGCACAACAGCAGGTCTGGATCTCAAGCTTGGACATAACAGTCAATGAGTTCTTTACCTCTTGAGATTCCAAGAATAAAGAACAACCAGAAATGTATTTGCCTTCAAGGTGCACAAAACCTAGAATGGTTCTGAACTTTTTTTCCCTGTAGATTGCAGTAGTTAAACAAGATCTGTCCTGACAGCATATTATTTGGCATATTGTTTTCTATGTGTTGATGAGATTTTCCATCTAAATTTAGATGCAAGTTGAATTACAACAACAGATGTTTTGTGAAGAAACCCATGCAGATTTGGACACATTTGAAGTAAAGGATATTTTGATTTGCCTCTTGTGCCCAGGCGACGTGCCTTCATGTTCGGAAATACATTCTTCATAATCTTTCCAAAGTCAGCAGCACTTAGTGGGTGATAGCCAAGATTGTCACAATAGCTCCTAAAAGAAAAAAGCACACATATGAAATAGATATGAGCAATAAAAACAGCCTGGACAGACACTTCAGCTCCTAACATTCTACAGGCATGCATATCTACAAGCAAAAGAATGCTCTGCAGATTATTGAAGACACAGCTGAACTCTAATGTATTGTGCCGAGAAAAACAACAAGGCCTGAGTACATCCAGCAGCATCCAGATAAAGGGATAAAAATGGCCTACTGCAAATTGACCATGGGGAAAAGGGTGCACTGTAGTATCCATGGTGATTAAGAGGACATATCTCACTGCATAATGTTGAAAGTGGGTCATTCTGCACAGTATACACTAAAGGAGGGCATCCTAACAGAGAAAGCCCCTGTAAGAGGGGCAAAAAGCTTATGCTGCATAGTTTTCACTAAAAGTGGTAAAGGAAGGCCGTGCTCAACATTACTAATGGAAGTACCCTGATGGGCCACTTGTGACTGAAAGAGCACAAACAAGGATCCTGCTATGCTCGCAATTAACACAACAGAAACCCCACATCAATGGAAAAACATGTCACTGCACTTACTTGTACTCATCATAGACCTCTTGCTTGGGCAGAGATGTCTCTGGGTGCTCCTCTAAGGTATTTTTAATCCAGGAGAAAGCATGAGTTTGCTGAGCTCGACTAGATGACAAAGAGCTCTGGTCACTAAAGAAAAAAACAAAAACATTCATCTTACTGAAAGAAATGTCTTAAGGCTAGCACCTAGAGAGCTACTAAATAAAACGTTTATGGCAAGTCTAACAAGAGATAATAATATCTGATCAAGTGCGATAATCCACAGCCTGGTTTGGCATAGTTAACTCACTTCAGCTATTCAGATGAAAAAATATTTGCAGTGAAGCACACTAAATCACAACAAAAAAAGTAGACCTAATTCCATTCTGGCTAAACCAAGTGCATGCTTATTAAAATGCTGGAATAAACCATTGAGCTTTTATTCCTGCCAAGATATTTTTCAATAACTATGCCAGTGGCATTAAAATAAAACAAAATGTTTTAAATGTGTTTCTCACATTTTACTGCAGGTGATCTGAAGGCTCTTTTACATTCATAAATAACAAGACTTCTGGAAACATAAGACAGTTTTTGGCAACTGACCACTTGGCTTAGCCAAGAAGACAGACCGGATATTCAAACATTTATAATGCACCTGGCTGCTTCAGGGTAACTCAAAACCTAAAAACTGCATTATGTATTAGAAAAAAAAAAGGGCAGAGTATAGAAGTGGACACAGACAGAGCATTAGCACTGAAAGCCAAATATTGCAGTTTCAACATGACCTGAAGCTGTGTAAGCCCTTTCTGTGTGTATGTGTGAATAATGAACACAAACAAAGATTTAAGCTACCTATAAATGGGGAAATATTTCACAGTGAATCATGGGTAATGACAACTGATTGGCCTCAAACCTGCTGGACTCAACCACATCCTTCTGTGCACTTCAGCTGCAGGATAGTGGTAAGCACATTCATGATTGAAAGTTCACTGCATCCACGACTATGGCTACTGTACACTACTTATGTTCCTGGACAGGATAGGTTAAGGCTGGCAACCTAAGCTCACCTTGCAGAGGTAAGCTTGTTAGATACAGTAGAGAGGTTCAAAGGGTGGTTTCTGAAGAACAAACAGAGCCAGGCTAAGATGCCATGATGTCACTGGAGAACACACAGGGAGAATAAGGAGAACAATACCCCGTATGGAGGCTTTCATTAAGGAGTGAGAGTCAAGCAGTCTTTTGAAAAAAGAATTACTAGGACTGGAGTCTAACCAGGAACCTGAGAAACTGACTTTCCAGATGTGATAATAGACTTTGCAAAAAATCGATTTCCTACCTTTTGAACCAGGTAGGCCCCCTGTCTGCAGAACTCTGGGCTTCAATAGCCAGGACTTCAAAACCATCAATCAAGTAGCAGGGTGGGAAACTGGTCCTTGGGACAGAAGACCGAGAAGATTTGGGAAGGCTCACAGAGTTGTGCAGCAGTCTGAGTAGGTCCAAGTAACACGTTTTCCTGGGCTAGTCAAAAGCAATGAGATTCACTGAAACATCCTCCATCCTGATCCTGCAGAGCAGGAGAAGAGGGAGTTTTAGAAGTGGAAGATGTAGATCAGGTTGAACTGTTCCCACTGAATTACCACAGCATCCATGAAGAAGGCTAGAGGACCCCCCTGCACCTGGAAACAAACTTGCTTAGTTTGTTGTTGAGCCTGGTAGTCAGAAGGACCTTTTCTGGTGCCCCCACCTGAAACAGATGTTAAAACACATCAGGGTGAAGACACTATTCTACTGTGTCCAGACTTTGACAACCAAGAAAGTCTACCTGCCAATTTTCCATGCCTGGGATGTGCAGGATGGAGGATGGACAAGGCTGGAAGATGGCATTTTGTTTAAACCAGAATCTGAGCAGGGCTTCTTTGAGTTGTGAGACTTCTGGTTCCTTGCTGACGATTGCTGTAGACCACTGCTGTAGCTCTGTCCAACTGAATTCTGTCCAGATAACCTAGCAGTTGAGAAGTCCAGCAGCGAAGGGATAACTGCATCACTAGTAGTTCCAGAATATTGCTCCTCTGACAACCGAGTACCTTGCACTGAGAGTATTTCCAGGACTCTGGCCCAGATCAACAGGCTGGAATCCATTGTTAGAATTTTCCAGACCAGAGGGAAGAAAGCTTTTTCCTAAGCCCACCAAGGCCAAGCCCAGGATTAGGGGTCAGGTGCAAGCAATGTTCCAAAGACCAAGCGTTTTGTCTCCCACAGTGAGCATGTGAAGTTGTGGTCTGGAGTGAAATTGGGCATGGAACTGCTTTTGAAAGAGGCAGCATTGCCAAAAACCTTCATGCAAAAGAATGGTTGGCTGGCTCCTGGAACGTAACACCTGAACAAGGGAGCAGGGAGTTTGAAGCTTTGCTCGAGGAAGGCAGACCCCGAAAGAGACATATCCATAAGAAAGCCAAGATACTTTGAGGACTGAGTCAATACCAGTGCTGACTTTAGGAGGCTTGGAAAAAAAAGAAAACCTCTACAGAGTTTGAACAGTTTTTTGGACACTGATCAATAGACTCCCTCAGTACGAGGTTGCACAGGTATCCCACTATGGACATGCCCAAAGAGCAGGGCAATGCACTCTGGTGAAGACCAAAGGTGCAGTGGATAGAAAAAAAAAGGAAGAGCAACCTGCTGGTAATGTTGGGTGCCCACTACAAAACACAGGAAATGTTGATACAATGGAAAGATGAGGACATGCAAGTAGTCTTCTTTGATATCAACAGAGGTCAGAAAGTAATCTGGGAGGAGGGAAGCAATGGCTGATCTTAGAGATTATGTACAGCATTTCTTGTTGTGTGCCCAAAGATGTTCAGAACTTTAGGATCCAGTAAGAAGTGAATGCACCCTTTCACTTTAGGAACTGTGAAAAGATTTGAGTAGAAATCTTTCCTCTTCGGGAACAATGGCTATGACCCCTTGACAGAGGAGCTATGCCACTTCTTTCTCACAGCGGGGTCTAGGTACAGCCTTCCTGGCTATGCTGAGAATCCAGAAAGCGGCAACATGTGACCTTTCTGGCACTGCAGCACCAATAAAAGCTTGCTAGAACAAAAATGATCTTAATAAAAAGAATGGAATGGAAATAAACCTAAGAGGAGAGAATACATCTGCTGTCTTAGGACACTAGCAAAAACCATGAGCATAATATGATAGGGAGAGGTCATACTGGGATGTCTTACAGCTTTGTTTGCCAGTGTCCAATCTCCTGAAGGCAGTAGAATAACCCAATGTACCGTACCATACCATTACTTCACCCTGTGTTCCTTAATGTACGATTAAAAAACCATTTGCATACTAAGTGGAAAATATTATTACCATTCTTTGTCTGATATTAATGTCTGTGACCTTGATAGGGAGATTTCCTCTCACCTCACATACCATTATAGTGGACACCTGCAGTTGTGGGTGCTGCTGACTACCATATAGTGACCAATGTCTTGGAATTGGAATTAAGAGGCCATCGCCATACAAGGAAACAAACAGCAATGTAAAAACTGACAGAGGTGTTAACCAATAATTTACAAAAAGGATAGCTATCCCTGAGGAAGTAACATGATTCGTGACACAATGCCTCGGACGGAAGGGACATACTGGAAAACAGCAAATGGCTGTGAGCGTGATCAGTGTGTTCTGGTCGGGGAAGTGCCCCAGCCAGAACACAAAGGCACAGTGGGAGAGATTGCCGCACTAACATCACTTAGTAAGTACAGTGATCTCTTCATTTTATTTTTCCCTTCAGCCTGCTGGGCTGAGTGAAAAAAAAAAAACCTTAATGTGTGTACTAAGCTTTAAACTAGGTTAACACCTTTATGGTGCATTAACTTGTGTTGCCTTAGGGCAACTGATTCATTTGAATGGGCTGCCTAATACACCATACTGAACAAAAAAGGGAATGTACTTGTTTATTTTAAATGCAGGTAGTGATTACCTGCCTTGTGGTGTGCTGCCTTGTGGTGTGGCAAAGATTAAGAATGAATGGCACTATGGCATCCCAACAAGCAACACGGGTGTTTTTGCCTACCCAAAACCAGCATTATCTCACAGAGGCAAAAGCTAGCTAGTGATATGCTGGCTGAGAAGTCTTAGGTACTCATAGACATAAAAATATTGTTGTCCTGGCTGTTCTTCTCAATCTCAATCTGGAACTGAGCTACAAACATCAGATGTCTATGGTTATCTTTAGGTTGTCCAAAATTTCTGGGAGCAAGAGTGACTCATTTGTGCTGGATTAACTGTTCAGAACATAGATGTGAAATTTCAAACCATCTATCCAAATTACCTGTAGTTTATAGCTCCAGGGATGTGAAAGTGAACCAACAAGCAGCACAGACACACACAGAGTCTTTTATATGCTGATCTTCCAATGTCTACTTGACTTATAGACAAAAGATAGCACTGCTGAAGTCTATTCTATAAAAGATGCTTACTGTGAATAAACTTACTAAGGTAGGTTCACATATGTGCGGGTGGTACCGCTGCGGATCTGCAAAAAAAATCTGTGGAGGCGCACCACCCACAGAGGGAATGCAGACCCGCGGTCTGGTGCCATTAATTCTAATGGCACGCCACCTGCACTGGAAATCGCAACCGTACTGGGAACTGAGGTTCCCGTGCTGGCTGCGTTTTCAGAAGAAGTGCAGGGACTTCTTCCCTGCATGTCCCGAGGCACGGGAGTCCATTAAAATGAATGGGCTCTTGTGCCCACACAAAACGCAGACCATAGGAACCCGGATACGTGAACAAGGGGTAAAAGATGAGTGTTCAACTTAAACTTGATATTTTCTCAGACTACTGTGTTAAGTCTACGAACAGCCTTTTATTTGCCTTTGCCACAGTGCTTTTCCTTCTGCAAGCTAGGATGACAGAAGCATGAGCAAAGAAAAATAGCATATTTTGAAAGTTCTCTGCCAAACATCTGGAACCAAAAAGAACATATCAGAAACAGCGTGAGATGGGATTACACATTATAATCAAAATACTAAACAGACCCACACCTTTTCTCTGAATTGCTAGGACCAGAAGGCAGTTGGAGGTAGAGGTAGAGTTTCTCAAGATCTGTAAACTTGTCAACTTCTTGCTAAACAGAAAAAAAAAATACAAACAGTAAGTTCAAGCAGGACAGTACAGATGCTTTCTGGCAAATGAAAAAGCACACTGCTCATCTTTATAACACAGTACTTGGATATCCACTGAATTAAATCATTGATTGAAATAAAGGAAAAGTCCAGCCATTCTGATATGCCATCTTCCTGTTCACATAGATTGTTTGAATCGGCCACTGGCTTCTTAGATCACTAGTAGACTATCGACAAAACTTTTTTTTTTTAATAGAGTAAGGGAGGGTTATAATCCGTCAGTTTTTTTTGTTTTTTTGACATCTGTGTCCTATTGGAATATATACCTTCACGTCCTGACCCACAGCTATAACTTGGATTACGAGGGAATCCCTAGGGCCCCCAAGTTGACCAGCAATAGAAAAGTGATGGCAAAGTGATGGCCCATCGAGTCTGCCTGTTTTTCTTTTTGGTGTGTGGGTGTGATTTTTAAATGAACATTTGTATGCAATTTCTCAGTATGTTTGATGACTTGAAAAATGTCGTTTGAAAGTACCTCAAGAAACATTTGCTTTAACTTTCGATTTTGGAGTGAATGGACTTTCACAAACATGCTTTGAATTCTTAACTGAGGTTAAAAAAAAAAAAGTAAATTTGACCCCGCTAATGATTAGAAAATTCAATAAAACCTCTTAAAACAAATATTTTCAAATCAAATTCTACCAGTGTATGGCCATATTTTAGATGGCCTTCTCACAGATTTCTGGACTCCTGCCCCTAAACCTACCCAACAGAAAATATAGAAACCAACAGAAAAAGTGATAAGGAATTCAGGTGCAGTGATCTTGTAGCTAGGCATCTTAGATATTAAAGAAAATGTAAACCCTACATTTCATATTCCTGATATGTGCCTGCTGTACCATGTACTTGTATAAAAAAGTATCCGGTTCTCTTTGTATTGCTTGCTTTGTGTGAATTCCCTGGTGTTCCTGCCAGTCCATCTGCATTCCTATTAAAAACTGACCACACTAGACAGCAGAGCACAGCACGGTCAGTTCCCAAGCTGCGCTGGGAACTCAAGTGTGCTCTCCTCCGGCGATCAGACTTCTGCAAACACACGCCCCTGCACAGTCTATCACTGGGAACCTCAGTATTCTGCTTTTCTCCTACCCCACCTCTCTGAGCTGCTGAAAACAGAAGCTTTGTGATAACTTATAAAAAAAAATTTTAAATAATTTAAAAAAAAAAAAAAAAAAGGATAATTTACAAGAAAAAAAAAAAAGAAAAAAAGTTTATATAACTTTTCTTTTATATCTATACACATGTTTTGCCTTTCATTTCTATTTTAAACTGAATGTGTTGTTTTACAAGGTAAGGGTTCACATACACTTTAAAGGAGGAGGTGGAGGTGCAAATGCCCCAGCAGCCACAGATAACCTATATAAATTTTAAAATACTTAGTAAAAAACAAAATTACAGCTAGGCAAATTTTAGTGCTATGTAGATAAAAAAGGTGTGAAAGCAAGAGCAAAATGTCTAGTAACTATATATGGGGACTGTCTACTGATATGTCTGTGACACAAAATTAACTGGCAGCAAATTTTCTACAGACGCAAATGGCATCTGGCGAGCAGGCAGGCTGCTTGTTCTACAACATATTTTCATTCTTTTTAAAGCAACTCAATATTTTCCCTTACTAACTTGCCTTTAACAATTGCTAGCTATCTGCTAACAGATTTATTATTCTGCTGGCTGTTTATGAATTTGGCAAGACCACATAAAAAGTTGTCCAAATCCAGTGAAAGAGTTATTGAAATAAAACAAAAGCATGTTTCGTCCCATGCAGGCTACATTTTCCTGATAGGAATATTTTACAGTATTTTCATATTTGCAGAAAACAACATATTGGCATTTTCTTAATTGGTTTGCATTTATACAAAAGCCAACAGAATGGTTCTTCAGTTTACACTAAGCACAGTCAATAAGGGTCTCCTTGTACTCCACAACTTATTTCAGGAATAATTTGAAAACGCTTTAAAGCTGATCTCCAGCTTTTCTGTCGCTTTAAATAGTATGTTTTCACCAATATGGTCCAAGCAAACTATTTCCTTAACTAAGTGCTGCACTGGTTTTAAGTGCTGTATGTACTGTATGAAGCTTCAGATACATGCAATACACAGTGCTGAGTTCCGACTGTGAGACAGAGAGTTCTCAGCCAGCTGTTCAGGGGCAGCTTTGAATGAACATTAAGCTTCCTCTGATTGGCTGAAGTGGAGAGGAGGGCTGATGACATTACAATCTCTGACTCGGCCAATCAGAGGAAGCTTTATATTAATTTAAAATTTAGCCAAGGTTTCCTCCAGCTGTACCAAATCATTTATTAGACTTGATATAAACAAGACAATCCAATGGCCCATGTGGTATTCTGGGTCAATTACTGGCCCCACTAGGAGGTGATAAACACTTCAAAAGCTGCAAGGGGCCATATCTGCCAGACAAGATGCACAGGTATTCCATACATCCGTGTGAGGGCAGACCTATTCATTCATGTCTATTGAGATGCTGCAGCTGCATGGACACAGCCACTGCTATCAATACGACATCCATGTGGGTGTGGGTGTGTGTGTCCGGATGCAGACAGTGTCTCCAATCAGCTCTATGGTCTACCTTATTGCAGAGACCGAAACATATGATCAGTTTCCCCTGGCTGACCACAGAGTAATTGGAGAGCAAATTTGGCTCCAATCAGCTCTATCAGCATTTCATCATTTCCAGTTCGCCGGATATTAACAGCGCCATTTTTAAATTGGAAAAGCATATGATCACACCGATCTTGGTGTGATAAGATGCTTTAAGGGCACAGGAGAGATCTAGAGTCTAATAGACCCCAGATTTCTCAGAAAAGAGTAGCTGTCTTTGCCTATTGCTATTACAGGGGATATACATTCCCTGTGATAATATAAAAAGTGGTTAAAAAAAAAACAAACACCCCACCCTCTTCCCGCAAGCTGCGGTCGCGTATTGGTATGTAAACAGAGATTGCACCATGCATGTGAGGTATTACCGTGAACATCAGATTGAGGGCAGTAATTCTAGCACTAAACCTCCTGTGTAAACATAAAGTGGTGACCTGTAAAGACTTTTGTCTCGAAATTAAGAAAGAAAGTTTGTACGTAGACATTTGTCGTCGTTGCACAGACATGCACAATTTTAAAGAAAATCATGTTTGGCATCTATTTACTTGGCGTAACATCATCTTTTGTACTTGATCAAACAATTGGGTAATATATTGTGTTTTTGTACATTAAGATTCAAAAAAGTGTATTTTTTCCCAAAAAATTAGCGTTTGAAATACCATCGTGTAAATACTGTGTGACATAAAAAATTGCAACACCCACCATTTTATTCTCTACGGCAATTGCCTAAAAATATAAAATGTTTGGGGGTTCAAAGTAATTTTCTAGCAAAAAAAAATTGTTTTTTATGTGAACAAAAAGTGTCAGAAAAGACTTTGTCTTCAAGTGGTTAGAAGAGTGGGTGATGTGTGTCATAAGCTTCTAATGTTGGTCCTGAAATGCCAGGAAATGTCACACACCCCAAATGACCCCTTTTTGGAAAATAGACACTCCAACATATCTGCTAAGAGGCATCTCATTTGTTGCCACAAGTTTTTGGAAAATGAACAAAAATATATTTTCTCTTTTCTTTTACAAAACCCTGTGACAAAAATGATATCTGAAAAATACTCACCATGCCTCGTATCAATCCTTGGGGTGTCTACTTTTTTGGTAAAAAAAAAAAATTCCAATACGTGTATTAATTGGATATTTTTCATAACCAAAATTAGAAAAAAAATTTTTTTTTTCTAAATTTTTGTTCTTTAGTTTATATCACAAAAAAAAATCCAGTAGTGATCAAATATCACCAAAAGAAAGCTCTATTTGTGTGAAAAAAGGACAAATGTTATTAGGGGACAGCCTTGCATGACCGTTCAATCACCAGTTGAAATAGCACAGTGCTGAATAGAAAAAAATAGCTTGGTCAGGAAGGGGGGTAAATCTCCGGAGAGCAAGTGGATAAACTATATATATGATGGCAGAATAGAAACAAATGTATATGAGGCTGGTATAAAAGTCATTCACATGAAAATATCAAAGTAAACAGCCTCTGCCATTGTTTATTCACTTTCCATGTCTGTGGAAATGTTGTCATGACAACCACTTATTGTAAAATTAGACACACAGCTTTAAAAAAAAAAAAAGAAACATTTGTGCATGGTTTCACCAGAGCTGAACATGAACCTAAACACTAAAGCTGAGATGAATACATTTTCAAAAAGATTTCTGTTATTATTACTCTATATTTTTGTGTTTTTAGCAGATAACATAACAATAACAAGTTCAATGTCCGTTTTCCCCATATGCAAGTGGGCACCCTTCTAAAAAATGTATAATTCACCCTGGCGAGTAATCATAGCAGGGATGCTTGATTCCTATCACCCGACGCCTGGGACGTGTAGTTTCAGGTGCCGGGCAGGTAGTTTTTTTCCTCCTTTAGCCCTGCTGCAGGCAAGCAGCAGGGCTCACCTGTCAGGTGAAGCAATCAGCGGCAACGCTGCTGCCAACTGCTTTCACACAGTGCCAGCCTCTCCACGCCCTGCACCCCAGGCGTGAGGCTTCCCAGGCTCCGCTTGCCGTCAGCTAGAGAGGAGGGGGAAGAGCGGACAAGTCCACTCCCCTCCCCTTCTTGTGCTGACCCAGATGTGACGTTACGATGTCACTTCCAGGTCCCCGTTGAGAGATTAATGCAATCCCCAGGAATTAATGTAATATGGTGCAGATGTGCACCACATTACATTCAGTGGAGCAGAGGGGAGACATGCAGGGTCTTTTAGACCTTGGATGTTTTAAAGAGGATGTATCATTGTCAAAGTCTACAATCAAGAGAAGACTTCACGAGAACAAATACAGAGGATTCACCACAAGGTGCAAACCATTCATAAGCCTGAACAATAGAAAAGCCA